CGTAGTAATCTTTAAATTTCGCAATCTATCGCTTTACATAACATGTTAGTAATTAAGATTTGTATGGCAAGATAAAATCAACTAAATAGAAAACCCTAATCCAAGACAAAATCAAACATGAAAATGACACACTTTCACACAAGCACCCCTAGGGTTACTCCACTTAGTTGCCTTGTACAAAAATGGTCATATTACGCATGTGGGGTGTCTTCGCAAAAACAAACAAATACAAGATCATAGTCCCTCGATGACGCTATTCAAAGTTGCCTTACAAAATGATCTTAGTCCCTCAAAAAATGCTAAGATACTTTGCAACATTGCTAATCATGGCTATACGATGACCCACGCACGTCCCGTTTACATCCAAAGATAGGGTTGCTTACCAAATCAATGGTAAGATAACAATATCAAAGGAAAAGAAAATGAACAAGAAAGACATTTGAGTAGGTAGATTACTTTATGTTACTTGCTCCATTTCAAACAAATATCCTTGCTATTTTCAAAACAAACACACACATTTCAAAACATCTTACAAACTTGAAAACATTTTCAAAAAGACAAACATCTTTGTATACATTGTTACGAACGAGAATCATTACAAAGATTGCCTAAACAATGGTCTCTTTTACAAAATACTTTCAAAAAACCACACCAAGCACAATTTCAAACAAAAGCAAGTGATCTAGCAAGTAACTAAGAGCCCATGGAAAACCATGGATGGAAAGGGTGCTAATACCTTCCCTTTTCATGATCTACCCCCCGAACTCAAGAAACAATCTCAAAGGTCTTTCCTGTGCTTTTTCACCTTTCCTTTTGGATAAAAGAAAAGTCGGTGGTGAATCATGCTAACCGCAACATTTGCGATAAAACGCAAAACCTTCAAGTCAGTTCTCCCACCGTATCACTGTAGAAAACTCGTAGTTACTTGCTCACAAAGCAAAACATAATTTCTCACACATAAACTATCTTTTATAAATACTTTCAAAGACAAAAACACTTTGTATGCGTTCTCAACGATACGAGAATCACTACAAAGTTCGCCACACTAAGGCGTCTTTTCAAAAATATTTTCAAAAATACAGTTACACAAAAAAGCATTTTCAAAGTGAGCTAGCAACTAAGAGCCCGTAGATAACTATAGATGGAAAGGATGCTAATACCTTCCCTTTCCATAACCTACCCCCCGAACTCAAAATTTTTAAAAGGTCTTTCCTATTCTTTTCACCATTTCCTTTCTTGGATAAATGAAAAGTCGGTGGCGACTGTTTCTAATAGCAACATTTGCGATGAAACACAAAACCAGTAAAGTCATTTCTCCCACTGTATTACAAATATATTATGTAACATGCTCATTTCTCCACCAAATTGAGAAGTGTAAACATGAAACTTGTGTGAATTTAAACAAGGAATCCAACCATGTAAATTATTTAAGCTACAAATCAAAGATGAGTGAGAATTTTTGTTGGTACCAAACTGAACCCTGATTTTTTCAGAAACTTCAACTTCAAAATTTTCATCACTCAGGCAAGATAAATGAAATGTAAGCACACGGTTAGCTTCAGAGAAATGATTCTACAATTTTTATTCAGAAAGTAAACATTAATGATGCTTGTACAAAAACATCAAAGTTTAGAAAACTTACCTCAAAAGTGAGAATCGTGTTTAAAGTTCGAGAACTCATGAAGATGTTGTGATGATCTGGATAGCTTCACTGAACTCCCATGAAGTTATTGCAATGCTTACTTTTGATTGAGAGTGTTTGGGTTCTTCTGGACAAGTCAAGTTGCAGAGCTCTGTTTTTAAAAATGGAGGATGATGAAGATGATGTTACAGTGGTATAACAAGTGTTTGAATAGGTTTTATGTGAGTTATAGAATCTTTGTGAATGATTTATAATGAAAACACATGAGTGGATTAGGTGTTTAAATTTCAAGGTCAGAATATGCAAACAATGGAGATTTTGTGTACAATTTTGACTTGGGAGAGTTTGAGAGGGTTAGAGGGCTTATCAACTCGTCTGTTAGCTTGCAAATAACCTCTCTATTTATAGAGGAAAAGGTTTGAGGGCCTGAAGTAACCAGGTTTCAAGATAGCATGTTATAGTTTGGTTACTTAGATTTGAAGTAACTTTGAAGCAACCTTGTTCCAATGCATAGTACAAAGGATCTGAAATGGCTAGAGGCTCTAGACATGTTTCTTCTAGATTTGACATTGCATATGTTTAGAAGAAAAAATTGAAAGGCTCAAGGAGAGTGGACTTTGTGATTAAAGTCACTCTAGAAGAATGGAAATGGTAACTTTGTGCGAAAAATTGAAAATTTTCTTGGACAAAGCTTGAATAAAGTGGATAATGGCTCAAAAGTTTATACAATCATATGATTATGGATAAAATTAGAGGTTAAGAGGCCTGCAAAGCAAGATTATGCAGCATGGCATGAGGATTTGTTCTTGAGCTCTTCACAAATATGACTTATAATTCAAGAATGGATGCCCAACTTCATCTCTTCGAATCTCCTTGCTCAAGCATGTTAATAACGTGTTCTTGGAAATTTTGGAAAGCTTGAAACATTGTCTACAACTTTCATGTTGACCATTTTGGCTAAATCAAATTGGAACTTGGGGAAAGTTTTCCATGAAGTTGAGATAAAAATCTGACCAAACTTGTTGAAAATTTTTCTAAGTGTTTTGATAAAAATGTCATGACTCCTAGTCCAAGCATTTTTTGGACATCAACCCTCAAGGAAAAAGTTGTAGACTTCATAAATCTCTACAACTTTCAGGTTGAAAGTTTTCCTTGAATCATCTTGAATCTTAGTGAAAAATGGTCATGAAGTAGTGAATTTATCAAGGCCAAAACACTTAGAATTTTTCTAAGTGTTGGAAAATTTGACTTTTTGTTGACTTTTCTTGAATTTGTTTACTCTTGATGATAAAGCTTGACAATTTTGAATGTTTTGATGACTGTTGATCTTTGAAGTTCAAAGTTGACCAAAAAGTCAAAGTTTAACTTTTGTGTGACAGTTGACTTTTCATCAGTTGATTCAAATTTTCAACTACCAGTCACTTGCATCTTTGAGAATGTCTTGAACCATGTAATTAGGTCAAGATGTTGTGTTTGAGCCCCTCAGATCATCCTTCAAGTCATTAGGTCATGTACTAGGTCAAAAGTTAATGATCAGTCTTTCTCAATCAAAACCCTAATTTTGACAATTTTGCGCCTTTGGTGATTTGAGGGCTTTTCCTGAGGAATTATGATCATCCCTTGATCAAATGATGAATATGACTTAAAAATGTTGATATTGACCAAACATCTTGAAATTTGACTGTATGTTGACCACATATGACTTTTTACCCAATACAATTGATTTTCAGTCATCTGAGCAATTGACTGAGCAAATTTGTGATGCAAGTCTTGAAACTTTGCATGAGCACTCTTGGAGGTCTATGATGAACCATGATAGTCACTTGAGGCATTATAAGTCCAATTTTCCTTAAGAAAACTAAAACCCTAGTTGTAGACCCAATGCTTAGGAGGTTAATTTGTCTGATTATCTCTTGTGAATCCTTGAGCATTTGAGAATTTTTATGAGAAATGTTTTTAAGAAAAGGGAGGGAATATTTTGGGGTACAACACTCATGATTCCAAACTCTTATCCTTGATTTCAAAGATTTGAGTTTCTTGTACAAAATGCAATCCCCTATCTCCACCACCATAGCCTTATTCCACTCTTCTTTTATAAAGGATCTAAAGCTTCCGTGTTTAAACCAATAATTGTTAAATCTAAATGGCTTCGGCCCCCAGTCAAGGTCCCCATATTTAATCCATATGGGATAGTGATCATAGATTTCTCTAATTCCCACTCTATGATCAATGATATTTCACTCAGAAATCAAATTACTAGTCAATAAGAACATGTCAAGTCTACTCATTACTGTACCATTGCCTATGAACCAGATGAATCTACCCCTGACGCAAGGCATGCCCACCAGTTCCATGTCTTCAATGAATCCTAAGAAATCTTCCATATCTCTATTGCTAACTGTTTTCCCTACCCCTAATCTTTCTTCCCTATTAAAAACGGCGTTGAAATCTCCCCCTAAACACCACACTTCATTAAAGATTTTCAACTTTCTATCGACCAAATCATCCCACATTATCCTCCTTGAAGCCGCCACTAGAACATTTTGACTACACGAGAACGGAAAAAATTGTTCCCAAGTCCCAAAAATCCATTGTTGTTGCCTATGAGAACGGTTTAGAGGGCGTTCTAGTCTTAGGCGTTCCCTTATCCATTCGCAATAGTTTTTACCCAATGGCAACACCTTAAAGAGAACCGTTGTTTAATGTATTTTATATAACAGTGCCAAACAACAATGGTCACACTCCGTTTGCAAATCAAAACTGTTATAATTGATTCAGTTTAGGTAACAGTAATTTTACATGATAAACAACAGTTTTTAGCCGTTGTCCATTGTGAACTGTTCTGATAGACCCCATATTTCAATTTTTTCTTCAATAGCAACAACAAAGATTTATATACTACAACAACATTTTTTAACCGTTGCAACAAATGAATTTTTTGTTTTACATATCAAATCAGTTTGTTTTGTAAACCTGATAATTGACATACAAATTTTAATATGATCTTAAATTTTAAAAGAATTAAACAAAATAACATTACTCATTTATATATATATATATATATATATATATATATATATATATATATATATATATATATATATATATATATATATATATATATATATATATATATATATATATATATATATATATATATATATATATATATATATATATATATATATATATATATATATATATATATATATATATATATATATATATATATATCATGATTCACATCCATGATTCAAGACCAAAATGACATCTTTAATGTAAAAATTCTAATGTCAATCATCATCATTCATAATCAAAATAACATTTTGACTCTCTTGAAAATGTTAAACATCTATATCTACGTCTCTTCATCGTCAAATGACTGAAATTCCTCATTGATATTATCATCAATGACCTGCAAAATAAAAGTAACAAAATGGAAATAAAATTATTATCTGAATGCTTTAAAACTATAATAATGTAAAGCATAAAACAATTCAATCTTACTTGATCATTAGTTGCAGCATATGTTGATACGGAAGAACGTAAGACGTTGTTAGCATCAGTTGCATGAGCTGATATCAAAGATGCGAGTGCCTCTATATTCAACTCTGAGGTGTTTTGATTCAAAATGATCTTAAGAATCAACTGCAATTTTCTATCCTTATCTTGACAACGTTTCTCCTCCACCTTTTCTATCCTGTCATTAAATTGTCTAACCTCAATCACATGCTCTTTTTTGAGTTTTGGAATTTCTTCATTTCTTTTCAAAAGAGACGGTGTTGTAGTTCTTCCATGACAACGCATTCTTTCAAGTTTTTGTTTGCCAAATACATTTTCAAAAGCTTCTGAAGACGGCTGTCTTTGATTTTCAATCAAGTCTTGAAGCTTTATCTAACACATAATATAGTAGTAGCGAATGAGTAAAAAGAACAACACGACAGAACAATAAAAAATTAAAAATAATTACAACATAATTAGAGTATTAATTATATTAGTTACAACATAATTAGAGTTTGATTCCCCAAAATAAAAAGTTATCATTTCCATATGTGAGAGATTTTACAGTTTGAATATTTAGATTGTAATTAATTAGTTTGGCTTAATATAATTAGTTACTTAATTATTAGCCTACTATGATTTATAGACAAATATAAGATCAATCTCTATCCAAATTCTCCGGTCGACACATCATTTATTCTTTATTTCTTATACCACATACTTCAATTTTTCCCACAAAAGACATTTTGATTTGGCATCTTTAAGAACACATTACTCTATCTCTTCTATATTGAAATAATCAAACCTTATGTATATGATGATTGTTATTATAAAACATCTTAATTATTATATGTATTGGGATTTTACTACTGACATATAGTTGCAGAAGTATAATTATTCTAAAGTATTATTTATGTCGGTTGATGATTTTATTATCTCCTCCTATAAATTATTGAAAATCTATATATGAACATGAGACACGATCATTATCACTCAATCCAGTCACACCATTTATACGAAAAGGAAAACATTTCAAGATAGGACAATTTAATAAACTTCAGTTTTCTTTTTAATACTCTTCCAAAAGAAGTTAAGACCCAATTTCTAAGTCTAAAGTTTGGAGAGTATTGACATATAAAATAATCTAAAGGACCAATTTTTAAAACTCTATTTGTAATAGAAATTATAAATACCCCAGGAAATTTAAGAATCCCCGCTAGCTTTTTACTGGTATGCTACCGAAGTCCTTAATAATTACACCGAAATTCGTTTCATTGTAATCAACTATAGTTAATATTACTTGCCTATTTTTAGATATAAAACACTTGTAAATAGTATTAGTGAGTTAGAAGCAAAGCCAACATCAAGGAGAAATAAAGCATAGGTTAAATACTTCATTGAAATATCATCACACTTTTTTTCTTATTCCTTGTTCTGTTATTACTACGCCAAAAATGACTTTTAACAGCACAGGTTAGACAGCGCTTTTATACAAACGCTGCTATAAGTTGATTTAAAAAAAAAAAACACAGAAACTGTATAAGGTAATAAGTAAAAGCGCTGCTAAAAATGTTACCTTAGACAACGCTTTTAAAAAGCGCTGCTAAAAATATTGCTTAAGAAAGCGCTTTATCAAAAGCGCTGGTAAAGGACCACTTTAGACAGCGCTTTAAGAAAGCGCTGTCTAAAGTCATAAAAAATTATTAAAAAAATCTGAAAAGCGTTGCTAAAGGACCCTATTAGCCAGCGCTTCTAAAGGTCCATATTAGCTAGTGCTTCTAGAAAGCGTTGTCTAAAGCCATATAAATGAAAATTAAAATATAGAATCAGTGTATACTGTTTCTCTTTCACAGATTCACGGAGGATAGCAAAAACCCTTTCCCTCTCATTCTCACGAACATAAAGCGCTTTTACGTCGCCGTCGTACCAGCCCCCCTCTGTCCTCCACCGTCTCTCTCGGTTGTCCTCCATCCACACTGGTCGATTCTCAAGGTAGGTTCTTTCTTGAAAATGTCTTTATCTTCATTGATGTCCAAACTGAGTTATCCTCCTATTGATAATATACTATGCTAACATCTAAGATATTATCCTCTTATTGATGTCCAAACTGAGTTATAGATATGCATAACTGAGTTATAGGTATGCATTTTTTATTTTTCGGTTCATGGTAGGGCTTGATATATAAAAGCAACACTTTTAGCATTTAGCATTATTGCATTTTCTTTTGGTTCTTTGTTTTTGAATAAAAAAGATGATGATGGGTTTTTTTTGTTATTTTAATTGGTTTATGAATTGTTTATCATGTTTATATTCTCCATGAACTAGTATTTTTTTACTTGTTGGTTGCTTGGTTTCTTTACTTTTAATACTATTTTACTAATATAAATTTCAGAATTGTTTAAGCATTATTACTCCTAAATACCGTACTTCTGTTGGAAAGAAATATAATATGATAGAAAAGATTCATAAGTGATTTGTTTCTCATACAAATTTTCACAAAAAACCTGTCTAAGAACAAATTGTTAAGCTTTGTGGATTTAAGCTATTATAGCCCTATAGATATACAACTTGTTTTTGATTATCCCTTTGTATTAGTGTAGTTAGTCGAAGACCATCACCGATTCGAAGAACATCAAAGCCGCATCATCCGCCGTCAACACCAATAACCCATTTTCTTTCTTTGGTAAGTCAAGTTCAAATTCTATCTGTATCAATCAATTAAAAAACACAATTATTTTTTATAGATATATTTAGTTTTAGTCCATGTTTTTAACTCTAGAAATAATTCGTTTAATTCAAACAAAAAGGGAATAATCCGTTTATAGTGTTTTTGTTTACTTGAATTAGTAGAAAAAATGGATGTTTGCCTATCGATTTTTACAAGAGTACGAGAATGGGGTACTGGAATTCGTTAAGTTTGCTGTTGAACACGCCAAAGACCCCAGTCGAATGAAGTGTCCTTGCTTGGGTTGTTGTTATGTGGGTCGGGTTGACGCAGATGCATTGAAATCGCATTTACTAATGCGTGGAATTGATAGAAGTTATACATGTTGGATATTTCACGGTGAAAAAATTAACGACAACGTTGAACCGGGGGAGAAAAGTAGTACGACATATGCTTCAGACGACAAGGGCACAGATACATACGATTTTGATCGAGTCAAAGAGATTGCAGATGCACTTGAAGAAGATCTTCAGGATTGTCCCAAAATATTTGAGAGATTGGTAAGCGATGCAGAGAAATCGTTGTATAAAGGTTGCACTGAATTTACAAGACTGTCTGCGGTTTTAAAGTTGTACAACTTAAAGGCGGGCAATGGATGGTTAGATAAAAGTTTCACAAGAGTTATTAGCCCTTATGAGAGATATGCTTCCTGAGGATAATTTTCTTCCTAATCGAACCTATGTGGCCAAAAAAATATTGTGCTCTATTGGCATGAGCTATGAAAAGATACATGCTTGTCCAAACGATTGCGTTTTGTTTCGAAACGAATATGCATTGTTAAATGAGTGCCCTAAATGCGGTTTGTCTCGATATAAGAAAAAATTGTCTCCAACAAAAGTCTTATGGTATTATCCTATAATTCTGAGATTTAGGTGCATGTTTCATAGTGAAACCGATGCAAGACACCTGACTTGGCATGCAGATGAAAGAATTATTGATGGAAAGTATCGACATTCGGCAGATTCACCATAGTGGTTGAAAATTGATAATGATTATCCTGATTTTGGAGAAGAAGCGAGAAACCTTCGCTTGGCTTTATCTACTGATGGAAAGAACCTGCATGGTCTTCAAAGTATCTCGCATACCACATGGCCTGTGATTCTTATGATTTATAACTTACCTCCATGGCTATGTATGAAGCGTGAGTACATGATGTTATCTATGTTATATTCTGGGCCTAAACAACTAGGGAATGACATAGACGTATACTTGACACCTTTGATCGAAGATTTAAAGATTTTGTGGGAGAACGGGGTGGAGGTTTATGATGGATATAGGAAACAAAGTTTCAATTTGAGGGTGATGTTGTTTGGAACAATTAATGATTTTTTAGCATACGGGATTCTATCTGTGTATAGCATTAAAGGTCAACATGCGTGTCCTGTTTGTGAAGATGGAACTGATACGATGCATTTGGAACTTTGTCAGAAGAATGTGTTTCTCGGTCATCGTAGATTCTTACATTCTAAACATCACTACCGTACGTGGATAAAAGCATTCAATGGAGACACTGAACAACGTAAAGCTCCACCAGCATTGTCAGGTGACCAAATTTTTTAAAAGGTGAAAGATGTCTGTACTCAGTTTGGGAAGCCTTTTGCACATACGGTTGTCAAATGTGGGTGGAAGAAGAGATATATGTTTTTTGAATTACCATATTGGAAGTCTATGTATGTGAGACATTTTCTCAATGTTATGCATATTAAAAAAAATGTATTTGAAAGTGTTATTGGTACGTTACTCAATGTTAAAGGAAAGCGTAAGGATGGCCTTAAAGCAAGGGAGGACATGTTAAATATGGGAATACGAACTAAACTAGGACCCGTGAAGAAAGGAAGCCGAACATATCTGCCACCTGCTGCTTTTACTCTATCTAGAAAGGAGAAAAATATATTGTGTAAGTTTCTAAGTGAAGTTAAAGTTCCAGAAGGATACTTTTCATATATTAGAATACTTGTGTCTATGAAAGACCTCAAGTTAAAGAGTTTAAAGACACATGATTGCCATGTTATAATGGCGCATTTTCTACCAATAGGTATACGTTCTACTTTGCCAGATAAAGTAAGGAGCGCGATAACTAAGTTGTGTTTTTTCTTTAGGTCAATTTGTAGTAAGGTGATTGATCCTGAGATCTTACCAACATTGCAAAAAGAAATTGTTATTATTTTGTGTGAGCTTGAAATGTATTTTCCTCCGTCATTTTTTGACATAATGGTACATCTAGTTGTTCATCTTGTGAAAGAGACACAGTTGTATGGACCAGCTTATATGAGATGGATGTACCCTGTTGACGCTATATGCAAGTATTAAAAGGGTACGAGAAAAACCGAAGTCGCCCAGAGGGTTGTATTGTTGAGCGATACATTGTTGAAAAAGCGGTTGAGTTTTGTACTGAATAATTGTACAAAGTTCAATCCATTGGACTCCCCAAAAGTCATATTTTTGAAAAAAAAGGAAGGTAAAAGATTAATTGGAAATAAAATTGTGATAGTATCAAAAGATGAATGGGACCAAGTGCATCTGTATGTTCTGCATAATGACAGTGAGGTTGAGCCATATGTTGAAATGCACAAGGATGTACTCCGAGGGTGAAATAAGAATAGAAATGAAAATTGGATAGTACGGGAGCACAATCAAAGTTTTATACCATGGTTTAAGGATCATATTTTTTCAAAGCTTCATTCAGATCTCGCTTCAATAACAGAAAGGTTGAGATGTTTGGCATATGGTCCAAGTTTGCATGTTTTTTCTTATAGCGCATACGTAATTAATGGATGCACATTTTATACCAAAGAACAAGATGATAAAAGTACTATGCAAAATAGTGGTGTCACCGTGCTTGTGAAGCAATGCACATTTCAAGTATGAAAGACCTAAACCCAAAATATGAAAATCTGCCATATTTTGGGGAAATCGAGCATATTTGGGTGTTTGATTACGAGAAGTTTCAGATTTCTATCTTTGGTTGCAAGTGGGTAACTAGTAGTGGCATACGAATGGATAAGTTAGGATTTTTGCAA